AGATGTATTCACCCTATTTCGTGTAAGGTGATGAAGGACTGGTAGTAGAAATAGGGTGAATACATCTCATATTAACGTAAGACTCTTACAAGAATGACACCCAGCTCTGATCATGTACAAACGGCTGCAGAACGACGAGATTCATCCGTCCTCATATGGTCAGATCGACCAACGAATCTCTTCTTCATTCACTTTCATGCCAATTGAAAGTCCCCCTAACAAGTATAAGTGCCCGAGCTACATATTTTCGTTGGTCAGTCTGCAGAAAGATGGGAATCATCCGCTATCTTATGGTGATACGGGCCCACGAGTCTCTCTTCATCAAGCACTTTCACACGAAATAAAAGTTAATTCATCCAACAAAAGTAGTCCTTTTGAAATGTATCCGGTTAGGTTAGACTGAAGCCCAGCTCAGATGGCATGATAGACGAAAGCTGAACATATTTCCTCGGCACCGATTGGGTGAGAAAGAGAGAGAGAAATTGAGTTGTAGAGAGAGCAAGAGAGCGATATAGGAAAAGACAGGGATCTAAGAATTCGAGCAAAATCAGATAATAGCAGACCATGAGGAGTCCACCCTCGTTTTAAGGTGAAAGATGAGAAACACAGCTCAATGACAATGGACAGAAGATGCTTGACGTGCATTTTAAGGCCCGCTTATGAGGGAGGCGAGTAGAAGGTCTAGGAGGCATTATGGAAAATGGAATTTGATCGTTCCCTCGGACAATTATAGTTACAATTTAAGGCCAATTTCCCAAATGGTTGCGATGCATTGCGATTGGAAAATGGGTGATTTCAGGGGAGCATCCAAGAGGGAGTTTTTTGTGTTTCTTCTTTTGGTATGTCTCATGGCGCTGACCGCCATGACGACGGCCTGTTCAACTGCTTTCCTTCAACATTTTATCAACTAACCGTGACGCAAAATGTCTTTTCTGTTGCATGTAGAGTTTCTGCAAATGTTCCAGAATGATCCTTTCAAGAGAGTCAACAATGGGCAAGTAGTCGAGCAAGTTTGACGGTATCGGCTCACTCGACAGACCATCGGCAGACGTCGAGCCTCGCATCATTTCCAGGCTCTCGATCACCTCGTAGACCGGAGGCAGATGTGCACGGACCAGGCCGTTTTTGACGATGTTGCAAAGTCGTCTTGTTGCCTCGTCCAGCTGGTTGGTCTTGAGCTCGGCGCGCACAATCACCAACTTGGCGCGGATGACAAGTGGGTCGTTGGGAGCCAGTTCCTGTTGGAAAACGGTCAAAATGTGGATGACGCAAAGGGTCATCGCCTCCGCGGCTTTGCCGTTCAACTCGAGGCACTCGGCCAGATTGAGCCGCAGCTTGGCCAAATAAATCCTCGATCCGGTCGCGGTCGCGGTCAGGTCGGAGACCGACTTGGTGACGAGATCCAGTGCCTTGCGGAAGGTGTGCTCGGCCAGGTCGAGATCGGCCGATTCCGACGTCATGTAGGCC